AGCAGATCAGGGGCTATGTGCAGCTTTCCCTCGTGATTTATATATTTTAAGATTAGATCCAGCATTTTGAGAAATGGCGTTTGAAGTCGTTAATTAGGTTTGCCTCAGCAAACTGAAACAGACAGAGCTAATTGCTGAAGATTGCAGCTAAAAGATTTGACCTCTCACCGTGAAATGTCTTGTTTAGGTCTGCTCTTCTGGTTTTGGTGTGAGGTTTTTTTTTTTTTTTTTTTTTTTTTTTGGAGGAGACAGATAAAGCATGCATAGTATCACTAAGCTAGTGAGGAATCATTTTTATTTTAAACCTCTTGGGAGTAACTTCCGTATCTCAAATCTACTGTTGTTAATGGGAGGTGTTTTATTTAATATTTGTGCATATATTCTACTTGCATTTTTTATAGAAACAGCGCTGTCAGGTAAGTTTTTAACTTTTGAAGAACAAGACCTAATAGGAAGCCTTTTCATGGAATCACAGCATCTATAAGTACAAAATAACTTAATCAACTCTCACAATACATGTAATTCCTGGCAAATCTGATTCATTTTATGAATAATTTAACTTGGGACCTTAGTGAGAAAAATATTCGTATGAACAGTATGAGCAACACATTTCCAGACAAAAGCAGGGAGGAGGAGACAGAGTCTGGGGGGGGCTGTGACTTCATCACACTTCACCCGATAAGAGGGTTCATTCTGGGAGCTGGTAACTGGATGAAGACTTGAAAGATCAGGCTGCAGGAAGCGGTGCTGGTGAGTCAAGACATGGCAGCCTTCCCTCCGAGTCATCCTTGAACCACTGCCCTGATGTGCTCATAGTGGGAATTGGATTAGGAGAGATGCTCTTCCTTCAGATGAGATTTCAAACTTGGGTCGTGACCACTTGATGTCATTAAGAGTTACGTGCCATTTCTTCTTGAGAACATGGATTTAAAAGCTGCATTTGGTCTGGTTTCCAGTTTGGGAGGCTGTATTTTGCAATCACACCTTTCTGCAGCTCTGAGTGGCAACACTCCTCCTGACCCTGCGCCCCATCCCAGTGTTGCAGGCCATGACACACGTCCACCCTGCTTCCATTTGGGAGCCACTGCACGGCAGTCAGTCCTGACAGCTCTTCCACGGCTGTTAAATAACTGTAATTTCCTGTTAGAAGTACTGCCTTACTCCCACTGTTCTCTATAACACTGATCAGTTTAGCAGAGAAGAAAAGAGAAATCTGTGTCGGCTGGATAGCCTTAGGGACACTTGTGTGGCACCAAGGGACACGGTTAGTGGGCATGGCGGTGATGGGCTGCTGGTTGGACGAGATGATCTCAGTGGTCTCTCCCCGGCCGGGCGAAGGGTGCGGGCCACGCGCGCTCCCTCGGACTCGCCGCCCGCCCGGCTGCCTCCCGCGGAGCCGCCCCAGTCTTCCGGCCCGGCAGCGCCGGCCGCCTCCCGGCGCCTCTGCCCCGTCCCCCGCCGCGGCGCCAGGCGGTCCCCGCCCGCGGGCGGCGGTGCCGGCAGCGGCCGCTAGATGCCGCCCTGCCCAACGCCTTGGCTGTCTGGCGGCTGCCGGGAGGCGGGTGGCGGCGGCTCGGCGGGCCCGTGGCGGACCCCCTCGGCCGCCAGAGCGCCGGTGGCGTCTGCGAGACCCGGCGTCGCGAGTGGCGGCTGAAGGGGTTGGCGTTCCTCGCGGTGTTTTTTGGAATGAAGTTTATTCAGTATCTAAAGAGGTGCTATAAGAAAAAAGGGAACAGGCTCTTCGGCAGGGTGTCAGGAAGGGGAAATGGTTTCAAAACTAGAAGAGGGGAGATTTAGATGGGATATAAGGAAGAAGTTTTTATAGTCGGAGCGGTGAGGCAGTGACACAGCTTGCCCAGAGAGGTGGTGGATGCCCCGTCCCTGGCGTAGCTGTAGGTGTTCGTGTTCACTGCGGAGGAGTTGGACTAGAGGGCCTTTGGAGGTGAGGATCAGGTGTGGGCAGCGAACTGGCTGTGCTGGAGCTGGAGGCTGGCTGCTGTACAGCACTGCTGGAGGGGTGGATGGCCCCAGGCTGAGCTGAAATAGGGCCATAGGTAGGGCTGTGAGGTGGCCCCAGGTGAGGCTGGACAAGGCCAGTGAGGAGTGTTAAAGCACTTGAGGTTCTGACATTGGAAGAAATTCTTCAGGAAGAAGGAGCTAAAACTTAAGGATAAACTTACATTAGTAAAATCTTTCCTCAGAGGGTGGTTCTTGAATGAGCAGTCTTCAAGGGAAACAGACAGCAACAACCCTCAAATGGATTAGAGCAAATAGTTTGGATGTTGCATTTCAGTAGCAATTGATTTGTTGCCCTTTTGAACCCTGCATGTTTCCTTTTTCCTTTGTACATTATTATCCTTACAACAGACGCATGGTTTTTGAGAGCAAAATCATCTGAAGAACACAGCCCCATGCTGTAGCTGTTTGGCTGCGTATACTCATTGGAGAAGAAGTCAATAGCAGTCAGCCCATGCTTCCAGACTGGCTCTCAAGGAGCCCAGGGTCACTGAGATTAGGGATTATTTGCATTTGAAAGCTACTTCTCAAGGTACAGTTCAGTGGATATAAGCAAATGTCACCTGTATTGTTTTTTGTTTGTTTGTTTGTTTGTTTTAATTATTATTATTTAAGATATGTTTTTATTACATAAAAGATGCCTACAGTTGCTGATTTAGTGTCTGTGTGAAAAGCTGTGTTGTCTGGACTCCTGTATTTGCAAACAGAGCAGATAGCAGAAGTGTAAGCACTTCCTGCATGGCACTGTAGCTGCAACCTGGATTGACCCCAGGAATGGTGAGTGGGGTGAGCAGTATCGAACTTGGAAGCACTCTCCTGTTATCACTGGTGTATTAACCCAGCAAAACTGCTTAACTTCACTGCCATGTAGTTCCATCTGTAATGTAAACATCTGTCTACTGACTAACTGCACTGGAAGCACTGTTTCATTTTGTGTAGGCTACTGAACATCTGTCAGATGGGAATAACTTTGGTTATCACAGGTTTTAGCCAGTGTCCTAGATGCAAGAGGTTCTGAATGACTTTGTCCTTGATTGACTTTCCTGCTTTTGGTCTAGATCCTTCTCTGCTGTACATTTCCAGTCTTTAATAGGCTTTTAAATAACCCCTGAGAGGATGCTGGGTGTTATTCCCCTTCTGAGCTCACATAGGTTAGATGGAAGTGTTGAATTCATTGGATCACTATGGATCTGCTCCTTTTTTCTATGTGTCACCTATCCATTAGTGTATCTTCTCTAAGAAACTTTCTTATATTAGTTTTGACAGGATGAGTTATGTTGTACAAGGCTGTGTCTTGAAGTCATACAGCTATAAAAAGAAGATTCCCATCACAGCATTTCAGCTGAGGCAGATCTCTGAGAATAGTTTTCTGTCAGCATGGGTGTGCAGTAGACTAAGAGTGAGCATACCTGAGTAACAAAATGTGAGATTGAACATTCTTGGTTTGGAAAAGGAATGCTCTTCATGTATATTAGTCTGCATTTAGCAAGCAAAAACTGTGTTGAGCACTCACCAGACTTACTGAAGTCAAATGGGAATCCTGCAAAAGCAGGCTGTGGCATACATGTGGAGGATCCTTGTAATGTCCATTCTGAGGTTAAGGAAACAGCCTCTCTGGAGTGAAGCTCATTAAGATGGTTAGGTTTCAAGACATTTGAAATTTGGGATTTGTTTGGCTGAATACCCCAAAGCAGTCGTCTTTATGTTTTCTGTGACTCATGCAGTCTGTCTGACCTTCTTAGGCTGTGGAGAGGAAGCAATGAGCAGGTTCACTTATGACAGAGCTTCCTGTTTTGCCTTGAACAGAAGGTATTTAGAAAAGTCTTTTTTTATGATGTTCCGCTGATCCTAGCTGATTTCAGTAACTAGGCTGAAACAGGTTGTGGTATGGTGGTCTTGCCAAACCTTTTCAGCCTCCAAGTAAGGTTTATTTTGGCAGTGTTAAGCTTTTTGGGTTGCTTTTCATTTGGAGAGGGTGATAGGAAAGATGCTCCACCTCAGACACTGAAATACAAATATTTGACTTTTACACAACCGAAATGGCTCTGGGTAGGCATGGAATAAGTGACAAAAAATGAGCTTTTACCAAACCTGTGGAATTCATTTGAACTTTGCCAGGTGCTTGGCTGTAAGAATGTGAGGTCCCATATTTAACAGCTCATATACTTTGCCAATAATATGTGAAGTGTTTCATTATCTTGTACACTGTAGTTGGCACACGTCAGTTTGCAGACAAAGAGTAATGGCTTATGATATTTGTGGATTCCATGTGTTGTTGTATTTCCATGAAATGATGTGGGTGTATGATAAGACAAATATATATGAAAAAAATCCTCAAGTATTAAATATCAGAAACTTTCAAGTATTTGATAAGTAAAACCATAAATTGTTAAGTAACGTAGGTATTTTGATTTTTGTTTCTTCTTATAAATGCTAGGAGTAAAAAACAAACATGAGGCCAGTCTTCAGCACACCCACGATGTACAAGTAGCATTTAGGACTGATGAAAGGCTAATTTTCTTGAAGCTGCAAAATAACAGGTTCCTTAATGTATTTAAGCCAAAGACCAGTTTTTTTCATACCTTACCTAGTTTAGGTAGACAAGTTTCTAGTTCCTGATGTTCACCGAAGGCAGGTTGCAGATCGGTATTGAAATGTCTTGTGCATGATTCTGCACTACTCACGTCTTTTTGTCTACTTTTATGAGTTTCTATCCCTGTGGTGTTTGTTTTCTATTTTTAATCTTTTCAGAAAATATTAAAATGCCTGAAATTTCCCCATACTTTTAAGTGAATCTCCTGTTCAACAACTTTTTATCGTGTTGCTTTGCAGCATAGCAATGTGTGTAAGCACACGCTTCTTCATGAGTAAATATTTCCCTGAGGTAGGATCTCAGGATGCAGTGACTGTTTACACCAGCAGCTCCCCAGGCATAGGATCTGGCGTGTTGCAAGAGTGGCTGTGCTGCTGCGGCAGTGCTTGCAGCAGCAAGCTGTGTGGTCTGCTCTCCTGGCCCCAACAGCCCGTCTGCAGCACTGGCAGAAGTGAGCCCAGGAGATCTCAAATCCCAGGTGAGCTCTCCATGGACCTGCAAGGAGTCCTGAGGCTGCTTCTCAGCTCAGTGAGAAGGCCTGCTCAGCGAGATCTGCTGTGCATCACTGCACTCAGTCCAGATAAAAGCCAGCTCCAGATATCAAGGGGAGGAGAAAGCTAGGCTATAGAAATGGGCGCATCTCTCTTCTGCAGAGATGTAGGCAGGGTTCTGCTGGTGCTTGGGATCTCTTTCAGGTGCTTTTTCTTTGGAAAGCTAGGGAACCTTTGCATGTGAGCAAGAAAGCATGCCATTTGGTGCTGAGTTTCAGTATTTCTAGTAGCTTTCCCTTGAGACAGTTTAGAAGGATTGAAGGTGATTTTAATGATTTTTTAAAATTGTTATTTTGTGTTCATTTTCTGTGCCATATGTGCTGACTGAATGAAAAGCTCAAAGACAACCCATTCCCTATGGGACTGGAGTCTGGTCCTGGGCATCTGAGGAAGAAATGCTTGACAGTAGTCAGTGGAGAAGTTAAGGTTTTAGGAGATGGTAAGTAACATCATGTGTATTTGTCTAAACTAGTAGAACTGTTTAGATGCAGGTGACTGCCATTTACTCCTGCATGTTGGGCAGAAATAATTCAGTATTGTCTATCTTTTAGTTACAATATATCTTGATTAGAAAGTTTATACAGGAGAAGGGTAGCGTAAAAATTCTAAGATTTGCCAGTACATTTCTGAGTGGTCTCACCCCATGTCTCACTCCATGTGCATCTGGATTTAAATACGAATGCCCTCTGAACAAGGTGATAAAAACAAACATATCAGTTTGAGCCATGTGAATTGTCCTCTAAGTAGGCTCTTAGAACATGAGGATAAGGTACATTTTGGTTATTAAGAGCAGCTATTTGGTGTTGAACTACTGCTTGAGTGAGAGAAATAACACATTATTAGTTTCAGTCCATAATCACCTAGGTGAAATCTCATTAAAATACTTGGAGGACAGAATAATTGAAATCAAATCACTGACATTTTGTGAAAGCTTTTATCTCTCTCCTTTGTCTTAAAGGACAAACAAACAAACAAAAAGGACTATAAGATAAACCTTGTGAAAAACTATAGTTTGAATGAATTGAAGCTGCCTAAAACATAAGGCTGTACAATGCAGAGAAAGAAGTTACAGGTTAGAAGGATAGAAGGAGTTTGATATATAACTGTAATGTTCTTTCATCTTCATTCTAAAACATCAGTGCATGCATTAGAAGCAAAAAGGCACATCTGTATTTCAGTGCACATCGTCTTTGTGCGCTGAAGGTCTAGGAGTGCAGAATGTAAAAATAAAGTTTTCTCATGTTGCATTTTAATCAGAATAAAATGACAGTTTTAGAGTCACACGGTGCTCGTAACCAGATAAGCAGTGCTGCTTCAGCAGAACTTGGAGACCTTGTCAGAAGGAAGCAGACATTGACATCTCCAAACTTATGGTGACACTATAAAGTATTGGCATATAGTGGCTATCTTTTATATCATTCTTGCAATCTTGGCACACTTTTTTTATTCTCAGTAATATAATTCCCATAGTTCTGTATTTTTATGGTCTTTAAACCTGCCATAGATTTAAAGATGCATCCAGTCAATTGAAAATTTTCATGAAACTTTTGTTTTGAAGGGGCAAAATATTAGAAAGCAGATAATTTCTTCACAACAATTTATTTACAATACTGGCTCTTCCCTCAACATATGCTTACCACTCTCCACTGTTATTAAAGTGAATTGCATATCTGAAGTAGATTTGGGCTTTTGTAAGCAGATAATTAACAGAAGAATGTGGTATCTCCATACTCTCTGAATTAGCTGTTTGCCTTAAAGAGTTTTCTGAAGCCCCGAATATGATCTCTTGCCTAGCTAAATTTTATGTTCTTACCTTGTATTTTCCACCCAGTTTATAGTTTTTGAGAGCAACAGCATGCTTTCTGGTGTCTGATGATTTTTGTTTAAACTGACTCTACACGCTGCCATGAAATATTCTTTTATTTCAGTGTAACTTGGAAATACGATCCGTTTCTTTAGGTGTAGCTAATAATACTCTGGACTGTTGCAGTGGTGTTAATACTTCCCAGTCTCAGATACACAGGCCTGGCTCATGCAAACAGCCAGGAACTAAGACCACCTGCACTGCAGGGAAATAACATCTGATAAACTCCCAGCCTTACAGCCTGCTCTCCTGCTGAGGAAGAGCAATAGCAGACTTAATTTGGATTTATTTGTGGATGGCTATTCTTTAAAAAATAATGAATAAAAAAAATAAATCAACACAGATTTAAATCAACATTTTAACTGCTTTGATTTTTTTTGATTACTGTAGTGACTGAAGAAAAAGGAAGTGAACTTCATAATTTCCTACTGAGAAATTCAAATTAAGCTCATTTCTTTGGTTGTGGTATATTTCTGTAATTTCTTTGCCTTTTGCTTGTAATTCCAAACACATTATACCAATTTGTTTACTTCCAAAATCCACAGATTTTGTAGTCACCAGTTCCCTCTTCCTCCTTTTTTGCACTTTTTATTCATCGTGCAGTTCTTATTTAATCATATAATCATACAATGGGTTGGGCTGGAAGGGACCTTTAAGATCATCTAGTTCCAGCCCCCTACTATAGGCAGGGACATCTCCCTCCAGAGCAGATTGCTCAGAGCCCCATCCAGCCTGGCCTTGAAAGCTTCCAGGGAGGGGTCATTCACAACCTCTCTGGGCAGTCTGTTCCAGTTTCACCCTCACAGTAAAGAATTTTTTCCTAATATCTACTCTAAATCTAACCCTCCAGTTTAAAACCATTTCCCCTCATCCTGTTGCTATCTGCCCTTACAAAAAGTCCCTCTGCAGCTCTCCTGTATGCCCCCTCCAGGTGCTGGAAGGCTGCTACAAGACCTCCTCGGAGCCTTCTCTTCTCCAGGCTGAAGAGCCTCTCACAACCTGTCCTCACAGGGGAGGTGCTCCAGCCCTCTGATCATCTTCGTGGCTCCCCTCTGGTCCAATCCAACAGCTCCATGTCCTTCTTATGCTGGGGACTTCAGAACTGGATGCAGTACACCGATGCGGTCTCACGAGAGCAGAGTAGAGGGGCAGGATCACCTCCCTCGACCTGCTGATCATGCTTCTCTTGTTGCAACCCAAGATACAGTTGGCCTTCTGGGCTGCAAGCGCACATTGCCTGCTCACAGATCTTTCATCAGCCCCAAATCCTTCTCCTCAGGGCTGCTCTCGAACCTGTATCTGTGGTTGGGACTGCCCTGACCCAGATGCAGGACCTTGCACTTGGTCTTGTTGAACTTCATGAGGTTGGCACCGGCCCACTTCTCAAGTTTATGGCACACCAAGTCATGTTGTCTGCTAGAGAAATGCAGGTAAAAACATGCTCGTTTGTCCAGTTGCAATCTAAAGTTGTGAGCCAAATCTTTATTGCCTGTCAGGCCCTCCAGAGCTGCTCCTTCAATTTGCTTTATTCCTGAAGTCTCTGCTTTCTCATCCAGATAATTTGCACTGTGGTCAGAAGTAGTAAGGAGAGATTTCAAAGTCATTACCCTCCTTTCTGAGCTTGAAGAAGGAAGCATAGGAGTGTAGTTGAGAGTCTCTTGACATACAGGCTAAGCTGAAAGGTGTACACTTTATTTAAATGATTGACCATGGAGTGGAGATGCCATTTTCACATGTCTGTGTAATGTACGTGCTATAATACTGGGGAGAAATGAGATCCTCTGTTTTCATATCCAGAATCTGCTCTGTTAAGTTGCTGGTTTCCTTGCTAGTTTCCTTGAATGCAGAAGCACGTCTGTTTTGCAGGTGTTTTGCTAAAATTGCTTCATTATAAAGAGCAGAACCTATCCTTGTGGGTTTTTTTCTCTAAAATGTGATGTTCCTTTTTGGAATCATAAAGCAATTGTCAGTAGCTAACAGTTAGCAGTAAAACAAAGATGCCCATGCCTCTGATTTAGATTTATGTCTTTGAGCAATCTTCTGCTGAGCTGGGCAAGAAGCTTATTTTGCGTGATCCTTTGAATCATCATGAAGTTGACACACCCATGATTTTGGCTTTGGCTTTGATACCTGGAGGACTTTTTGAAGCTGCTGGAGGATTTGAGCGTGATACATGTTTTACTGCATCATGGGACACTGGGACAGCAGTTGCCTCAGGGAAGCAGGAGAAAATCAGCACTGGCATCATCACTGTTCATGTTCACTCCCACTGATTCTGCTCTGGTTCCTTTCAGCTCCTCACTTCTTTCCTTCAGTGCAGAAGCAGGAGGGCACTGTAACTTGGCCTGTGCCCAAAAAAAAGGCTAAAGGGGCTTGATCTCCGTTTTTTAAATGTGCTTCTGAGCAAAAGTAGGTGATGCTTCAGAGTTCTTTAATTTGGAGAGAAGGTTTACGAAATCTGAAGACTGGATTTTAAAGGTAATCAGATTTAACTAGAGTATACATTGAGACATAAGTTAAGCAAGGCAAAGTAACTATTAGAAAATTGCGAAGTTATATATTGGACTGTCTATACAGGAAGTTTGTAAAGCAAGATTTCATATCTTTCTAAAAGATATATGCTATAAATCATCCAGAAGTTATAGTCTGTGTAATTAGGAGGCCAGTCCAAGTGGAGATAGTGGTTTCTTTTGAATTCCTAGGTTGTACCACAGATAAGCAGTAAGTAAGAAGGGACTTGCTGGCTCCTTTTTAAGTTACCAAAACCTCTTCACCTTTCTGTCAGGTAAGCTTTATTAAAAATGGGTTGTATCTTGACAGGAATGATAAATGTTTAAAATCTGTAGCTTTTTCCCGTATGACATTTCTAAATGAAAAGGTAGGCTTTCTTCAGGAAAACAAAAACCAAAGAACAACCAAACAGCTATGTTAATAACTTTTTATTGTTAGAAATTGCTAAAATGTGCTGATTTGCAGTGTTGAAAGACTTGTCGTAAGTTGTAGGACAGACAAGGAAAATTTTTCCCTCCCTTTCCTTTATGTTGACCTCAAAATGTGGGGAATGCCCTGCTGTGAAGAAACCAGAGCCTTCATCCTTTCTCCTCCTGCACTGTCAGCTCAGGAAGGAGGAAAAAATTGATCTTCTGAATCACTGTGCTAATGTTTATGTGGAATTTTACTTGTGAAATTAAGTCTTCCCTTTCAGATGGGGAGGACCTAGCATCAGCCTTGCTGGTGCCACTATGACAGCTGCTGGACTAGACCTGGCTTCTTCTACTTGGTTGGAATCTGGGCAGAGCTGGCACATCAGCCACAAAGAAGTGCCCAAAATTTATTCAGCCCTCTGGAAGCATCCTGTTTGTGTTGGACGTACTTAGAAGCTCAGAAATGACATAAGTATGCCAGTAGGTAGAATGAAGGAAGCCACTGTAATATTAGAATAGAAAACATACAGGAATAACAGAATAGCTTTGATGGTGGGGAAGCAGCCTGATACATTACAAATCAGGGTCAATCAACCTGAATAAATTGACCATGTCACGTTATCCTGATGAATTCCAGTTAGGATGCGTATTTAAATGTTGTGGTTGCAATGTTGATCACTTGGTTGGGCATGTAGCAGTGAATTTTATGTATAGAGGGAGTGAAATACCACAATGATAATGACAAACTTCAGTTGTTCCTATATCGATAGTTAAATGTTGTATTGGGATATGAGACAGTCCCTTTTTTTCTTTTTTTTTTTCAAACCAGGAGTAACTGGTTTTAGAGTAAACAGCTGAACAACACAAAAAGAAACAGCTTTTGGCTTGGTTCTGAGTCACTGTGCAGGACATGGCCTTGAAGGTAACCACCGAAGAGTCAACTCAATGGTGATCACCATGTACTGACGCTCACTGTTGTTGTGGGAGTAAAAAAGCCACAGAGATGTTAGATAAAACTCTCTGAAAGGAAATTAAAACAGCCAAAACAGTAAATTACTTAAAATGGCATGGAGCATAAGTATAAAAGGTTGTTTTGGGGTCTGTTTGCTGAGATGTGTGCATTCACATGTCTGTAAATTAGTCTCCAAACAGACTGAAAAAGAATTGTCAACTCTTTGGAAGGGTAGACAACAGCAGGACAAGGGGAAATGGTTTTAAGCTGAAGTAGGGAAGATTTAGGTTGGATGTCAGGGGGAAGTTCTTTACAGAGAGAGTGGTGAAGTGCTGGAACAGGCTGCCCAGAGAGGCTGTGGATGCCTCATCCCTGGAGATATTCAAGGCTGGATTGGATAGTGCCCAGAGTAGCCTGGTCTAGTATTAAATGGGGAGGTTGGTGGCCCTGTATGTGGCAGGGGGGTTGGAGATTCATCATCCTTGAGGTCCCTTCCAACCAGGGCTATTCTGTGAATAAAAGGAATAAAATGACATAATTCAACAAGTGTAAGTCATTCCAAATAAGGAATGTACAAAAGGGAATAAATTTCAGCAAGCTGCATATCAAACCATAATAAAGTGTGCCAAAAAGATTTTTGAAGAAAATTCGTCAAAAACATTGAATAAGTTAATGATTTTATTTCAGATAAGATAGAAGTTGAAACTTCTGGAGTTTTGGTAGATTCAGTAGAAGAAAGAAATATAATGGCAGCACTCAAGATAAAAATACAAAAAATATTATAATGATATTTGGTATGGAGAAGCTTATAGCTGTTACAACTTTTTTTTTTTTTTAGGAGCTCAAGGGAATGTTCTCAAATTGAGACAGTATAGTATTAAGCTGAGTATAACACCATTTTTCCAAATTCTGTGGACAGGTGCTGCTTACCCAGGGGTTTAAGTGATACAAACACAAAATTGCCAAATTGTTCACTCAGTCCTAACTGTGAGAGGGATGGAAGGTGGCTGCTTGTATTGCTGAGAGTGTCTGACCTTGTGGCAGGCAGACCGAAAGAAGTTGTGTAATGCAGGTTAGATGAATTGGCACAGGGATATGTATCATGAAAGATTGCCAGAATGGTTTTGTAGCCCTGCTTCACAATTGTACCAGTTTAGCTGAAGGAGTCAGTGGAGGGCAGTGAGATATGGTGTACTGCCTCTCCAACAGCTATGAGTCACAGCCATCAACACTCCTCTTATAAAGTGATGGTGTAGTTAAGTAAGTGGGAAAGTTCCCTTTTGAGAAGGACGTGAGAAGTGAAAATAGAAGTTTGCAGAATAAAGGGAGTTTTCCATTAGAGTCTTATTAGGTTAGGCAGGGTACTTCAGTGTATTTATAGAGCAGCAGCAGAAGGTCTAATGACTGAATGACTGAAAGGCAAAATGGCAGATGAAATTCTATGTTAATAAATGCAAAGTAATTTGTCTAGGGAAGAAAATCAGCTGCAACTACACGTTATTCAAGGCTAGACTCTAGCTGTTTATTGTTTGGGGAAGAAATCTTGAAATAATTGCAGGCAGGTCTATGTAAATAGCTCACAGCTAGTCAAAATGACAAATTTTAGGAATGAATAGGAAGAGGACGGAGAACTAAACAGAAACCATCAGAAACTTGCTTAAGTATAGAATTGATTTCTTATTCATCACAGGCCAGGTAAATAATTACTCATTTACTTAAACGCAGATTGGTTTCATAGGAAGCCAATCCATTTAAAAAGCAGATTCAAATGGTGACAAAAGCATCAGAATGTTTAAGTGAAACTTCACCTCTCAAAAATGAATTTTGTAGTTAGAAGTCACTTTGTAAATGGTTTCTCCAATCCCCTACAGCTGTACGATTCACAGACTCTTGTCTATAGGAAAAAATGTCATGGTGGATGTGTCATTCCATAACTACCAAAAAACATCAGGCCTGTGGGAAAGTGGGCCACTGGACAGCCTGCAAAACATGCACAGCTATTTCTCTCTCTTTCAGCGTGTAAAGTTGTCCTAGTTCATTGAGTGGGCAAAAATCCTTAGGCTTTTTTTTTTTTTTTTTTTTACATGCAGTGGTATGGGGTGATGCCTAATAATGTTTTATTTTTGATGTTACAAATGAACTCTCAAAATCAGTTTGCTGCTGACACTTCATGTACAAATAATTAAAGACAATATGAATCTATAATTTTTATTAAGGATCAAAGAGATAGGATGCGGAGTGAGGAGTGGACACAGGGCTCTATTGTGAGGGGAACAAAGGTACATTCTTGTGCAAATGTCATAAATATTAGCCAGCATTTTATTAACAGTGACCTTAGCTTGCTTTCTCATGTCCGTGCTTTCTGGGCTTTGAAGAGGTAGTCTCATGTCTGTCCCTCCATCCTTCCTGTGCAATAAATAGTTAACAGCGTGGGCATTTTCAGTGTCCTTAGGCAGTCCTTTGCATTAACAATTAACATAGGAGAGACACCCTCTCAGTTATTGTTTCAGACTTTCTGCAGGCTCACAAAAACGTTCTGGTTCATGTTTAGCAATTTCACACTCTAAAAGGACTTCTGTTGGCTAGGAGAATGAGGTTATTATTATTTCTTTAATGTCAGCATAGTTCCTATAGGCTATGGAAGAACTGATGAGAAAAGATACAATTGAATTTCCCCGTGTTTGAGATTTGACTGTTGCACAAGTTTGAACATACCCATCAGTTAAAAAATAGAAATATATGTAATATGTCCACATATGCATATACATATAGTGACATCCATATCACATTTTTGTTACTCCCTGTTTTGGAAACACATTTGGGTGTCTGGTGTGTTAGCAGAACTAAGAGCATTATTTCTTTGGATGGGCATAGCAGCTGCTGTTAAGTGACATCAAATGCAGATGAAAGCATCCAAACTAAGGCAAGTTCTGCCAAGACTGAACTAATTCTGTAATTGTTGAACTCTAAATGCCATACATGTGACAGCTAGCAGCAGCAGCACTAGCTTTTGGGAAATACTGATTGACTAGGAAAGACATTGCTGGCTTCAAATGGCAACTTCCCATCTCTGAAGGGGCAAAATGAAAGGAAATAAGTGATGTTTCTCTAAAGAGAGAGCTTGTTATTCCTCCTTCTCAACAGATTTCTAAATGTGCAGTTTCCTATTAGAATGGATTTCTCAGCTAGGTATCATAGATTTCATGCAACTGATCTGAGTAGAGGAGAATAAAGAGGGGAAAAGGATTAGAAAGGCTGACAAGAATGAGAGTGATTCTAGAGCTCACCATCCAACTTTGATTGTATTTTGCAGTTTACTGTAAATGCCCATATGATACTTTCATGTTCTGGGGGAATTCTTTGAACTTCTGCTCAACTAACTTCCATGGAAATTTGTATGAGTAATGGCCTTGGGCTTCTTAATGTGGAAATAATTGTCCTGCTGCCATATGGTACCTTGTCAGCCTGTCTGGTGCTGCCACAGATTTCTGTCTGTGCTAAGCTAGGCCAAGCCTTGAGAAAAGAATTTCCATCAGGCTGCCTTGCTTATCCAGTGTACTAAGAACTGCATACTTCTAGAAATCGTAAACTTCATTCTTAGGCCTGAACATGACTGGCCAGGTTCTTCACTGTTGTTCACTCATTCTTTTAGTCTCTGCTGATGTCACTTGGAATAAAAACCTACCAAGAGAAGTGCTTCCCTCCTTCTGTCAAAATGATAAAACCAATATTTCCAACAAATGCTCCCTTGCTTCCTTTGTTTGCTTCTGTTTATTTAAGGAATTACCAAAATGTTGTAAAGGATAACTCATAACTGGGAGTCTGGGGACATTTTTTTTCCTTCTGAGGTATGAAAAATGTTTCTTCTGGCACTGTGCTAAGTGGTAGGCCATGCTTCTCTCCGTGGGAGCATGAGCAGGATAGGCAAATGGCAGCAGGCAGGTCGTGAGCAGTGTGGATATGGTAGCAACAGTGGTTGCAGTGCTTCCCTTCAGGGGCTTCGAAAACCCTTGCATAGCTAGTCAAGAAACAGCCATGTATCAATGAAATAAAGCCAGAGAGTAATTAAACAATAAAGCATGACAAACTGTGCATTTCCAGGGAATTACAACATGCCTTGGGTGGAGTTATAAGGCATGAGGCCAAAGGTTGGATGGCTTTAATCACCCAAGATACACAAAATGCCGACAATGCTGGAGAAAGGAGTGGGATGGTTTGGTCAGATTTCTGCTGTCAGCTTAGAAACCAAGTCTTGATGTTATCCTGTTTGGGTACAGGCCTATCTGTAGCTCTCATAGAATGCTCATAGCTCAGATGTTATGAGTGAGACTGGAACATGCAAGCACCTGAGCAGGTCTGAGTGTGGGACGGAAAGTTTTACCCAGATTCAAGCAATTTTTTCCAGCCTCTATGCCTGAGTGAGGAAAGTAATGAGAGCAACTGTCAACTCTGGTACTAAGAGCAAGGAACTGATCAGATGAGAAGAACCTATAGGTGCTAGGGCTGGGGAGCCCTGAGGTGATATTTCTGTCAGCTCAGTCCCAGACAGTCAATCCTGGGATTTGGCATGAGGCTAAGCTGAAAGCCTGAGTGACTTTGTCCAGTGAAGCAGAATGAATGGTGGGTCAGACCATCTGAATGCTTTTCAGTGTGGGTGATTAAAATAAAAATGTGATATCACAGTATGTACTTTGTACAGGGGGCTGTGAGATTTCCAGGAGCTGTGGGTGGGATGGCCAGCTGCTTCCTCTTCCTGCTGATCTTCTCCAAGTGACCTCTGAAGGATCTGAAGCATTATCCCAGAGGTAGGTGTGAGGCTATGCTTGCAGGTGCAGCGTTTCTCATACCCTGTATTTTTCCTCTTATATTCTGGCATTTGGCTGGAGAGGTGCAAGGCTGCTGAGACAAAAGAATTCTGCTGGGTATCAGGATAGGAGGTAGAATATATTCTCTTTCTGAGCTCTTCCTTTTAAATATGTATATATACATATATAAATTCTGCCTCCTGAAGAGATTGTGCATACAACATTGCTCTCTTTTCCTGCCTCCTCCTCCTGCTGCTCCCATACCTTCCCTTTCCTTGTCCCAGCAACCAAAAAAGATGCAGGCACCTAGAGCCGTCTGATGGAGTGCCACAAAGCAAAGATACTCTATACTGTGCTTGTGGGATTCAGAACCACAGTTGGTAGGGGGCTATGACCTGTCATGGGCAGGACCTAAATGCAGCTGCTTGCTGCAGTGGAAGCTTCCTGGAGGGTGTGAGGCCAACAGGCTCCTGGAAAAGTGGTCTGCGGAGGCTGGAGCCTTGGTGCCTTTCTTGTCATAAAGTTTTCGAACAGTGAACATGCTGATTCATGGAAATTGAGTCTGTTTTTGGGAAGGGGTTGGCTTTCACAAATAGCTTGACTTTGAAAAGTACTGTGGAAATAAAGTTTTGGAACTGTCCAAATGTTTTGATAGTTTCTCACTGAATGTCTTTCCCATTCAAAATTAATTTTGTTTAGAAAATTAGGCTTAATAGCATATTTAAGAAATCACATTGAAAAGATGTGTTTTGAAATTGTCAAAGCAAAGCGTTGGCCCTGAACACCAGTTTTGTGTTGGTTGTTGGTTTTTTTTTTTTCCTTTTGCTCTACGCCTTTAGTTTTGAGAATTTTGATAATTTAAACCTTTCCTCCCACTTTTCAATGTGGAAAAAAAAACCACTGATAACTCAAAAGCTGTTTGGGGGAATTTGAGAAACGGGGAAACTGTTTCTCTTCTAGCTTAACATAATAGATGGGGCTGCTTTAACATGGAGTAGCCCCATTTAAAAACAAATTTCTAATAAATTCACTTTAAAAAAAAAAATGAAGAGACTATTGCTACATAAGCCACCTTTTACTGCTGCAATTAGTCTCCTACCAGTACAACCGGGTTTTCTGATTTTAGGCTTAAAATGATTGAAGATTGTAATGCACTCAAAAGAAACCAAATACAGCTGGTTAAGTTTGAACAATGTTTTTCTCACACAGTATTTAACATTCAAGAAAGCCATAAAACAAAGAAGTCCCAATTCAGTACTGCGCTGCATGTCCTGCTGATGTGTTTATTTCTGTTGCCTGGATTTTAATCACTGGGATGTGCTCACTTCAAATGTGATGCTGAACATTGCCCGTTATTATAATGTATTTCCCAGGAAAGTGCTTTCTGACTAGCATGCAAAGCGCAGGAGGAAAACATAGGGGGATTATTATTATTTTTTTTTTTAACGTGGCTTTAGGAAAAACAATGGTTCATTCTTTTAGACTTTGGATTCTGATTCCTATTTTTACTGTTACCAGTTTGGCAAAGGGGAAGGGCCTTCCAAATGAGCTGTGGTTGTATACCTGCTTCCCGCTTCTGGGGGACACACTGAGAATGAATTCAGCCCCTTGCAGCTCGTGTCACGCTCTCTGCCATGGCAGTGCCAGGAAGCCTCATGGCATGGCTTGCATACTTCCCAAAGTGCTTAGTCAAGCTTGCAGGGCTGGACTCCAAGTCCCTGTTTGCTCTGCACGGACATTAAAGAAGCCTCTATGATTTTTCCTACGAGTAGCGGTTTGTTGCAGAGCTCTTGGCTATAATTATGTCCCCCAGTAGCTATTGTGCAGCAAGGCATGAGTCATTTGCCTGCTTGCAGCCCGGCAGTGGTTGCATTGTGGTGGTGATACAGCTTTCTGAAGCAGCAAGTGTGTTCTGTACTGTTAGTGCCGCTGGAGGGCTGGCTGACTTCACTGGCTTGGCCTGGATAAGGAGGTGTTTCTCATTATAGTGATGTTGGGGTGCTGTGGTTACAGAAGATGTGTAGGACAGATAGGATTGCTTTTCTTTTTCTTTTGTAATGTTGGGACCTCTATCTTTTACAGAGGTTCAATCTATTGCATCATCCAATGAGGGTGGATGATGATGGTGAAGGTGGATGAAGATTAAGGAGAATAGTTATAGGGAGAAGATGGCAGCTTTCCAGTTTGCCTGTATTATTAAAACTAAGACATGGTTTTTTTTTTTCTTTTGCTAAGCCTGGCTGGAGCCTCAGAATGCCAGCTCTAGCTCAAAAAAACATAAAGACTGCTCGTTGTGTGACTTTCCACTCTTTTAGTGCCTTCTGATTATTTTTACCTGGGAAATTTCAAGGCAGTAATAACATGCAATGTAAAACATTATTGTCCTGGGCTGTGCTCTCAGGACTGTATCTAGTGGTTGGTAACCCTGTTCTTGGCAGGGAGTTGGAACTAGATGGTCTTTGAGATCTCCTCCAACCTCATCCACTCTATGATTCTTTGATTGCAGCAGGCTGGCAGGTTTGCTAGTGAGCTGGTTGGGTACCTCCATGTTAGCAGTCCTTGTTGTATGTGCTGTGTGAGCCTGTAGAGGTAAGGAAAGAGAAAAGAGATGCTGCTGGCAGTTGCTGTCAGCTAGCTGTTCTTGACTGCAATTTCATGATGCTCAAGGCACAGTGGAGGTTTTTTCTCATTAGTAAGAGTCAGTATGCAGAAAACAGATCTCCTAAAGTGCTAGTGTCCTGTGTCACCCTGTTCCATCTTCATTTCAGCATCGCCCACTCCTGCCTTGTCTGAAAAGTTACACACTCTGCAGGATTCCTTGGGAAGACAAATTGTTTTCATTTGCAGAGAGGTTTGCAGCAGAGCACTTTTAAAATGACATTGTAAGTGCAAGACCTGCTCTGACTTTTATTTATATAAAAAGAGATCAGGGTTAGGATTTCTAGTTGGAAGAGACCCATGATTTTACTAGGACAGGGGGGCTCATTCTTCCCTCTTGGCATGCCATGCACTCTGCAATCCATTTGAGACGCCATAAAGGCAGTAATAAAGTGGCAATCAAAACCAACACTTCAGTAGTCCTGAGCTGCAGTTCGTGGGATTTCATTTGGAACTTATTTACCTGACCCCCTCCTACACAGCTTTCTGTCCTCGCTACCTATGTGATTCTCCACTTCAGAGCACTTGAGGCCATTTGAACCTTAAATGTTGTTGTTTCCTACAGCAGCCCAAAAGGCTTTGTTGTTGGGAAGGGGAAAAGCAGAGAGGTGAGGAGTGTACCTGTGTGATTGATGTGGAGCACAGAGACAACATTAAGGACTCTGGAGCTGGGACTGGTATGGTTGTATCAGTGCCATGCTGTACCAGGCTGACCCTGGGAAGAGAACCTAATTTCAAAAGGACACAATGCCCCCAGGTGTGAGTGTGTGGCTCCACTGCATGCTGCACTGCAGCCAAGCAGTGCCTGGCAGCTCAGAGCTCGAGTGCTCTGAAGTACCAAGTTCATATGCTGAGCCCTCCTAATCTGAATTACTGCACGATCCTGTGATCCCACCTTTCACAAGCCCAGCTGTATGGAAGGCAGTTCCTTCCTTTACCTAACAGCTGTGGTTAGCTGGCTGTGCTGACAGTAGAACAGCGATGCTTCTCACATGGTAGGACAGCTGAGCAAATTATTCTAAGAAATCAGCACATAATCTTTTACTGATAGACATATAATATGAGCAAGATATACATAAGATGCTCATAATTTTCTCTTGTTTTTTGTTTTACATACTTTGGAAAACTGTCTTTCACAGTTCCTTTCTCTGGATATTGGTTATGAGCCATTTTGTGAGCATCACCAGGTTCCCTGGTTGCTTCTTTGCAGTTAGGCAGCAGGACTTTCAAGGTTTTGTTTTTGACCAAGTTGGGACAAGTTCACAGCACTGCTGGCTTCCACAATTCTAAGTGGAAGGTTAGGTGCTTTTTCTTGTTCTTCAGGATGACAGGATTGAAGTGCACTTTCTGTAGATTTTCATGCCGGTTAATATTGTCCTGGATGTGATGAAGATCAGTTGAAGAGAAGACTCAAGTATCTTAAAATTCAGAATCCTAGGTGCAGATTAGGTTTGTTTCTCAGTTTCCTCTGTTTTACATTATTCCGTTGGAAGTCCTTTTCCTTTCCCCCTCTGTATTTTTTTCACATACCTTCTGTTGGGCAAGAACATGATTAAAGGGTGGAGCTGAACAGCTGGTGATAGAAATATAGTGTTTTTTATATGCATAGGTACTGTTCTATCTCTAGAGACCAATAGATTTAACATCCTAGACTAATTGTTACATACACAGCTGATGGAAAGCTGGGACACAGTTGACCATGATTATAAACTTATGCACATTGTTTCCTTCTGTCTTTGCTCTTCCAGAATAAGGGGAGGATTCTGCGTTCCTTGTTTAAGCAAAGTCCTGCTGTGCTGTGCAGTGAGGTCAAGGTAATGAACTGTTGCCCAAATGAAGACTGCAGCACTTGGAAATAAATGGCCAAGCAGATTTTCTCCTCTTTTTTTTTTTTTTTTTTTAACTTTTTTATCCTTGCTGTGGGCATTTGAGCACATCCTAATACCTTTCTCTTTATAACATGCCCTGGGTGGAGGAAAATATCATCCCAAATCTGCCTGTTGGGAATTGGCATGGAAAATGGTAATACATTCAGATTTCCAGAGGTGCAGATGGGTCTTTCTCATCAGCCTTACTCCTGTATTTGGTAGCCAAGCATGTTTGAAAATGCCCCTAGAGATGCCTCACTAAAAATCTGATCCTGAGTGATGGGACCCAAAGCCAGGCTGGTGTGTGTCCCTGAAGTTCAGCGGCACTGCAGATGCTGGCTTGTCCTTCCTACCTGTGTGCTGCATGCAGGTCTCTCACTGCTGACTTTGGTTTAGAGGAACCACTCTGAATAGAAAGCTTGAGCTCTGGGTGAGTAATGGTGGTGAAATTAGTCTGTCTTTTTAGTAGCGGATTTTTGAGCCTGAAAAATCTGGCATCTTCACAACTTGTGAATCAGAGCATCCAGCTACAGATGTTATCCTCTGCAAACAGAATCCCATGCTCGGCTGTACTGCTGTTGAACTGAAGAAATGCCATCTGAATGTGAATCCCCTTTCTGCAGCATCCAGAAAAATGGATACTTGCTTTCTCCTTGCAGAAGCAAAAGATCAGAGGAAGTAAAAAGCAAAATGGAGTAACATGAAGGAAGGGGAAAAAATGCGCTCTGAAGATCCCTGTCTCTGAGCTGCAGCTTCCTCTCCCCTCTCCCTGCCCCCGCCTCCTCTTCCTTCTGTCTCGAAGGGTTAAGTATGCAGAGGGACAGAATTGCTAGACTTTATGTCTGTGCTTGGTGGGAACTATTAAATTACGGCTGGATGTTTTTAATTATGCCACACATAAATGCCTGAACACAACAGCGTTTTAATCCGAATGTGAGCCTCATTTATGTGTGTTCTGTGTTTGCTCTGAAGTGCACTGGCTGGCACTTGTTTGTCGTGGCCCCTTTGTGGCATTGTAACAGCGTGGGGCTTTTCCCCCCCCCCTTTTTTTTTCCCAAGTGTGAGGATGGGAGCTAGTGCTGGCGAGGGGGAAAGGAAATGGGTAATAAAACAGAGAGCTAAGCGGCTCACTGGAGCCAGCGATGCTGGGATCTGGTTAATTGCTCCGAAATGAAAAAGATTCGGGGGTTTTCATGAAATCCCATAGGTGCATTTGCCAAGCCTCAAATATTAGATTGAATTACAGTTTCTAATTCCTCCCCCCCTTTACCCACAGCCATGTGTCTTATTTCTTCCTAAGGCTTGTCCACTTCTCAGAGCAATGAATAGAAGAGAGAAGCTGAGTAAGGACTGCCTGCCTGCTTTTTTTACACCTTCCCCACCTCCAGCTTTCCCTAATCCTACCTTTTATTAAAAAAAAAGGGCAATCTGTCTCTCCCTCCTCCAGTGTATCCCGATCTGTCTGAGGCTTTGAGGTTGAAATGTTCCCTGTATCTTCCGCTGAAGCCTGGGCTGTGGGGAGTGCGCAGTGAGGGAGACAGTCTCTGTCCCATGTTCTCTGCACCCACGCACCAGCTAAGCATAATATAATCTGCTGTGCAGCCACCACGGCTGGGTGGGTTTTTAAGCGGCTTTGACCTGTCCTGCTCATTTTTAGGAACAATTTTACGCTGGCAGTCAGCTGTGCCAGCATTTTTACTGTCCCGCAGAGGGATTTCAGCACCTGATTTGTAGGCGTAAGGGGACTTCACCGGGAAATTACGCAGCGGCGCGGCTCAGAGGTACTGCCTCTGAGGCCAGCTCCTGACATGGTGGGATTGGCACCCACAGGGCTGGAGCTGGAGCCGAGGCTCTCTCGCGTCATAAATTACAGCCACAAATCAAGGCACGAGTCCTGCTTTTGACAGTTATTGTGTTTTGTTAACCGGTGAACAATGTGTATTTTCTCAGTCGGGACGTTTTGAGAGTATGGAAAGTGCACCTTGGTTATTAGGCTGGTATCTGATCCATGTGTTGTTTCTTTTCTTGCGAGGAGCTGGAATGCTCTCCTCTTTCTTCCATCCTGGAGCTGGAAAGGCCCTCTGAGTCACCTAGGCCCGTCCCAGCCTTGGAACAGACCTTTCTGCTGGAAATTTCTCTGCTGTGTTTTTCAGAGCTGATTGCTCTACTGCTCTGAGCATCTCTGAGGTGGCTACATCTCATACACTTCTTAAGGGATCTTGCTTGCCTTTGATTTTTTTTCAACCTCCTTTTTGTGTCTTGTAGGAAGGTGCTCCTACAGAGGGATCAGCCTCTTTTCCCAGGCAACTGGCAATAGGACGAGAGGTGAAGGCCTCAAGTTGCACCAGCAGAGGTTCAGGTTGGATATTAGTAAAAATTTCTTCTTGGAAGGAATGGTGAGGCATTGGCACAGGCTGCCCAGGAGAGGTGGAGGTGTTCGCGAACTGTGTGGATGTGGCACTAAGGGACATGGTTTGTGGGCATGGTGGTGGAGGGCTGTCAGTTGGACTAGGGGAGCTTAGTGGTCTTTTCCATCCTTGATGATTCTATGATTCAATGATATCAGTGCAAACTCTCTTGGAAGCGAGTATGTGAATTGTTCCTTCAACATATGCTTGCACGTTCACAATTAAATGTAAGTTCTCTCTTTCAGTCTGCTGTGATTATCTTCAGTAATTAAAGTAAAGAGGCCTGTTTCCCACTTGAAGGCCAGGAGGGTTAGAAGGAGCATGTGGCTGGCAGGGCCCACCTCGCTATATAGCCCCTCCATTAGGCCTGGGCTTGGTTGGGAAATCAGAGCAACTGAGGGCATGCTCTAGTAAAGCATGCTTTGATGCTTCTGCCGTTTCCTTGTACGTGATCTCATGATGCATTGCTGTGGGAAGATCTAGCTGTTCTGCCAACTCATTTTCAAGAACTGTTTTCAAAGAGAATGGTTTTAAATTGCTCACTTGGGGGGTCATTTATTGTCTATTTTTTTAGTGTTGGGTCCTCAGGCAGTCGAGGGTGAAATCTCTATTGTTCACCCCACCTCCAAAACGATCAGAAATCACGAATTTTTATTTAGCCACCCACTGTTTTTTGACCTGAATACTTCAATTTTTATTTCCCACCCAGTCCCTTCCTAATGTTAGCCACAGTCTTCCCATCTTGCTCTCACCCTGTAGGGTAAGGAAATGTGGTTTCATCCATGAATGACATTAATGCCATTGTGTGAATCATTAGTGGATCCAGCATCACAAGCCCCAGGGGACTGAATATTTGCAAACCACTATAGAGAGATTCTAATATCAAATACGTGGCAGGAATCATCCCAGCTCGAAGAAAACAAAACAATCCCACTTCATACCCAGAGAAGATCGTGGTACTTAGAGAGAGTGGAGGAGCTTGTGTAATGGCCTCGAGAGGCCCAGTGGCAGGCATCCTGCAGTGCTGCTCTCCCAGATCTGCAGCCCTGCTCCCTCCTCTGTGCAGCTCCTGCTCACTTGTGGTGTGTGATGGTGGGATCTGAAGCCATCAGGAGGGCTCTTGCCTAGTTCTTCCTCAAAACAAACAAACAAGAAATCAAGATGAAGCATGACTAACTTGGAAAAAAATTAACAATGACAGAAACTGGATTTTTGCAGTGGTGCAGGAGAAGACAGGCACAACACTTGCTGCTCTATTGCAGTGCCACCCAGCTTGCTCTGAGGGCTTCTGCTAATTCTGTCTTTCTGGGCCTTTGTATGAACATTTCTGCCTTGGCATGTGTGGGGGATAAGGGGTTAGGCTTGTCTGGCAGGCCAAGGAAAGGCTAATGGTAACCTCTGATTTCTGGACCCTCTGATGATCAGCATTTAAGTAGGTTTTTAATTGAGTTTTTTTGTTTGTTTGTTTGTTTTGTCTAATGGCAGGTGCTCATGTATGAAAATTTTGGCCAAACATCTGTCAGGATGTAAACACAGAAGGAGTATTTGGCTGCTGGCTGCGTTACCTGTGTAGGAGCAAGAAGGCAGATGGGAGTGTTCTGTTATGAATAACAAGACACAGGCTTCCCTTAATGACCTCATCCTGCTAACCATGAAAAGGAAATCCAAAGGTATTGCAAACTCTTTTTCCGTGGAAACAATGGTTCCCAAATCTCAGACTTTAATACTTGATATTCTGTGCTAGTTAGAAGTTTAATAGTCAATTAAATTAATTAACTGACATAGCTAGATCCTGTTCTGATGCAAGTGGTAAACCCACAGATAGTACAACATCTTAAAATAGCTGTTTAGATATTTGTGTAAAATTTTTTTTTCAAGAACCTGGATTTCATTTCTCTTCTGTACTGTGAATTGAAGTATTGGAATATGGGAATCTCTGGTCCAGAGGGTTGGTGGCGAAGGCAGACCTGAAGAGAGGTTCAGTTAATTTTATCAATTATACAGAGCAAGCTTGAAATAATTTGAAATCAACTCCTTTGGTTTTAACTGAATTTGTGTTTGAAACCCTTTGTGTAGCAAGCCTAGTTGTCTGTATTGAAATTTTTGCACGCTGTCTTCAAAGGTGATGGGAAAGACAAGCAATGGGAATAGAAGTGTTAAAGTCCATAATCTGAAAAATATCAGGTTACACTCTTGATTTTCGACCTCTTTCATTATGTCTGTAAACATATTCTGTAAAGTTACTTTTTGCAACTCATTAATGTAGCAAACTTGTTAGTTCTCTGCTAATGAAGAGAGTTTTGCCAGCAGTGTTGTCTGGCAGAATTAAAAGTATGTGTAGAGATAAGATAAAAGGTGCCTTTTTTCTTCTTTGAACACTGAGTTTTCTGGTTGTAGTTTCTTGAACTTGTTGAAGAGAATGATAACACAGCCTATTTTGGGATGGGAAAAATAATCCTTCAGGCATAACAACAGAAAACAAAATAAAGAGAAAGCACCTCCTACCCAGACCCTAAGTATATGGAAAACTGATTTTCTGTGTACGTGGAATAAATATCTGAATTTTTTAAGCAAAGATTTAGGAAGAATGTAATGCCATTTAATCAATGCTATTGGCTTCTACAGAGTCATTTTGAATAATAGATCTTTTTCTGCACTTCAGTTTTATTACAAAAGTGGAAAAGGAATCTTCTGCTTGCTGTTTGTGGCTTGGGAATTTAAGCACTTTAAGCTTGGATAAAAATGAGGCTGAAAATGTATAAAGTAGTAAAGGTACAAAGCTATATAATACAACATGGGTACATACTCTAATCAGAAATGTTCCCATTTATTAAGAACTTGGAAACACTATGTTTTAACAAAATAACTAGACACTGTCCCTAACTGGGTACCTCTTCAAAATATTTCATCTTTGGCTATTTCTACAGCAACTTACTTAACTGTAAGACATTTTTTAGTGATAACTTTTTTTTTTTTTTAACAAGATGCAGCATAAACAGTCTTCAAGGCCTGTGAGCATTCCTTATCAAGCAGAAGCTTGTATGATAACTGAATACCTTCATGGATTCTAAAAAGCTGCTTAAGTAAATGGTCTGAAAGCAACTTCTGTCAATGTCAGAGGGAATTTTACCAGTGGAAACAGAATTGAGCCCGAAAGGGATCATTTTTTCAACACCTTTGCAACTTCTCGTCTGGCACCACCAGAGCCAATGGAAAGGTTTTCACTGACTGGTGCATAAAGAGATGTTAGCTGTGTAACCCAAGACATCTCCTGTGTGCCAAAGAATAAACGAAATTTAGAAGGAGAGCAACTTTGCTGTAATGGTGATGATATAATACTCAAGAGCAAACAACTAATAAACTGTTCTTAAAACAAGAATCTATCATACTTGCTCTAAAACCAAGGGGAAAAGTTGCCTCTGGCCTCTGGGATCCCCTGCTGGGCAATGAAAAGAGGAGCTATATTATGCAGAAAGCTATGAGGAAAGCGGAAAAGCCCTCAGGAGGAAAAAGCCTTTCTTTCCCCCCTGCCCCCTCTCCTGGCATAGCTATCTCTACTGCTTGTGTGCAGTTCCGCTGAGAAAAAGCAGTTCATGATAGAACAAACTGAGAAAGTGCTAGTTCAGGCTGCCTGTGCTTTCCTTTCATGGATTAATGGCAACTGAAAATGAAGGGATTATTTAAGGCCACACGGGCAATATTAACTACTCCTGCGCATTGTGTGACTCTAGGATCACATGCAGCCTAGAAACCAAAAGCAGCAAACGGTGTTGGGTTAGTGTAGGTAAACGCCTGGGTTATGAAGCAGAGAGTTCTAGAGTTTACTTCTTAGCAGTTTGGGAATTGCCTGTTGTGAAGATGGAAGTTAAATAAATGCCTGAAGGCTGTGCTGCCATTCAGCAAGACCTGGACAGACTGGAGAGCTGGGCAAAAAAAAACCGGATGAGGTTTAACAAAAGCAAGTGTAGAGTCTTGCATCTGGGGAGGAATAATTGCATGCACCAGTACAGGTTGCGGGATGAGCTGCTGGAGGGGAGCTCTGCGGAAAGGGACCTGGGTGTCCTGGTGGATGACAGGTTGGCCATGAGCCAGCAGTGTGCCCTTGTGGCCAAAAGGGCCAATGGCTTACTGGGGTGCATTAAAAAGAACGTGGCCAGCAGGTCGAGGGAGGTGATCCTCCCCCTCTACTCTGCCCTGGTAAGACCTCATCTGGAGTACTGCGTCCAGTTCTGGGCTCCCCAGTACAAAAAAGACAGGGATCTCTTGGAAAGAGTCCAGCGGAGGGCCACAAAGATGGTGAAGGGCCTGGAGCATCTCTCCTATGAGGAAAGGCTGAGTGAAATGGGTCTGTTCAGCCTTGAGAAAAGAAGACTGAGAGGGGACCTGATCCAGGTCTATAAATATCTACGGTGTGGGGGGCAGAATGGCGAGGCCGGACTCTTTTCAGTGGTGAGTGGAGACAGGACAAGGGGAAACGGCTGGAAACTGCAGCATAGGAAGTTCTGCACAAATGTGCGCAGGAACTTCTTTACAGTGAGGTGACGGAGCACTGGAACAGGCTGCCCAGGGAGGTGGTGGAGTCTCCTTCTCTGGAGATGTTAAGAACCTGCCTGGATGCCTACCTGTGCGACCTGGTGTAGGGAACCTGCTTTGGCAGGGGGGTTGGACTCGATGATCTCTGGAGGTCCCTTCCAACCCCTACAATTCTGTGATTCTGTGATTCTGTGAAATGGTGGTATGCAGTCAGCCATTCTGATATCTCATAGGAGTAGCCAGGCTGTTCGATCTTCTGAAAAACATCATCTTAGTGACCACTGCAAGTGACCACTTATTACTTCAAGCTCAGTGAAACTCATTTTTCCTTGTAGAAACCAATATGGGGGTGAGCTGGGAACAGTATAATCTTTGAAAGTGGTAGCCTTTACAGTTGTTTATTAACTTTTTTCAGAACAATGGGAATTTGTTTCACCAAATTTGTTCTAGTGTGTATTCATACATGTTCATTAAAGGCTGTGGGTCAAATACTGTTGTATTTAAGCCTTCGGAATACTGGTGGGAGACACATTTAATGGCTTAGCTAGACCTGGGTGAAATAAGAACCTGGGATTTGTGATGGGGCAGAAACTCCCTTTTTAGTATTGGTACAGGATTAACCACATGGATATGAGTTGCATATATGGCTGTCACATCTCTCAGTATTAGATTTATTGTCTGGCGTTTTCATTGTGCCTGAAGAGCTTTGCATCCATGGACAGTCATGGCTGTAAGAAATGGAAGGTGTATGAAAGTTATATATTTATAATTTATATAATTTATACATTATATATTTAATGTAATGCAATGTAGACATCCCTGAACAACCACTAGATGAGCTATTTCAGGATTTGAAGGCCTCAGTACAGTTCTGCTGCTGAGCTAATTAGTTCCACTGGGGACAGAGGAAGAGAAGTTGGGCTAGTTTGCTTTGGTGTTCTGCAGCGCTAACATGACTGATGTTTGTAAAGTCAAAGCTAGCGGAGCTGCTTGAGGCTGTATCAGAATGAAATTGGCAAAAATGTTCTTAGATCTAGATCCAGAAATCTCTTTGCATTATACAGTCTGTTGTATGAACTAACATTTGTTTGGATGAGTTGAGTGAGAGGATTTAAATCTGAGAACTTTCAGTTTTAACATGCACGGTATTTGGGAAGCCACTGGTCTTTCCTGGCATGTAGTAATACCCTATAGAGGAAGACACTTCACTGATATTGTCTGGGAACGGACTGAGGGAGACTAAGCAGTGAAATAAACAGCAGAAAACCACAACATTTTGTTTGTAATTGAGAAATTTTGTTGCTTGATGTGTTTCTTAATTGTGCATTCCATGCACCCCTGTGCTTCAGAAATCCAGTAGCCAGAGATAATATGTAAGAGCTTTCTTCACGAGTGGACTTTACACACTGTCATATGGAGCTTATGACGCTCTTGTGCAGAGTAATATTCTTCACTTGTGTAGAAAATAAGAGCCAAATCACATATAATTCCCAATCATTTTGGGCACATTAAGATGCATGTTCTCTAGATACATCTCTGTGTCCCTGAGAGTTTAGAATTCAGCTTACAAAAGGTGCACAGAAGTTATTTAAACAAAGGAGAGTGGGAAGAACATACATCTGCAGAGAATACTTTGTCTATGTCTTCCCCCTTCTTCTTTGTCTCTGGTAAATCCTTACGACTTCTCTCTTCATTGTTTGTCAAATTTTTGGATGTCTCACTGCATTAATATTTCCTATTCTGGACATTTTGAGTCTTACTAAGAACAGAAAAATTGGATGGAATGAGAGCGTCTCTGATTTTCATATACAAATGTTGGTGGAGTGTTCCTGGTGTTTAGATGTTAGTTAATAAAAAACAGTCTCTGAACCCCAGGCTGAGGCCTTTCAAATGGAATCAGGCTAGCTTTCCCCTTTTATCTAACCTTTATTCTTTCAGGGTAGAAGACATTCTATCCTTTGTATTAAGGGGTGACTGGTTTCTTTCCTGTTCTGGACCTACAGCAGTGTCTTGAGTTATTTTGTCCGAAGTTCTTGTTAGGAGAAGCAGAAATCTTTGTTCCTCCTTAGAAGAAGTGAGAGTCTTGTACTTGCTTTGAGCAGTAGGGAAGAGAAATTTCTTCCTGGCAATTGAATGA